TAACGGCCCGTCTACACTTCAGGCATCGAAAAATGCTTTCAACGCTTCGCCCATTCACTTGAATGGGGTGACGTAGAAGATTTTTAATCTTCGACGAACTGCATTGTGGGGAGCGGAGCATGGCTTTGCAAGCATCACGAGCATCTATCGGCACACGAGCATCTATCGGCATGAGGCTCGATGCTTGGCATCAGCCAATCAAATCCCGTTTATGCAAATCCCGCCAGTGCAAGCACTAGCCAATCAAACCGCGTGCAAGCTGGGAGAGCCAGACCGCAGTTCATTTCCTCATATTCCAAACGAGATATTACATAGCAAATCACCCGGTTCTTTACGACCAGAACTATTTACCGGGATACAAACCGGAGGAACCAGGCATGGAGGGAGGTGGCAGAGACAGTGGGTGAAACTGGTAGGTTTTTCGCCTGTTTGGAGAGTTTATATCCAGTTTACTTCGTTTTAACATTGCTATTGCTTTGTATGTCGGGGGCGGGAGATTCATGTGATTGGTTGTTGGTCGCGTTGCTCGCAAAAGATCGGCAAGCTTCAGACACGCCCAGCTTCAAGATTTTTTGATGCCTGTAGTGTAGACGGGCCGTTAGTGATATTTAATATTGACCAAGGAGCCTTACCCTCACTGTTCTCCAGGATGTTGGGAGCAAACCCACCCTCGTCTCCCACATTGGTTGCATCCTGGCCGTATTTCTCCTGGATCACCCCCTTCAGCGTGTGGTACAGCTCCGATCCTATCCTCAAAGCCTCCCTGAGAGACAGATGGAGGGAGCGAAGAGGAGAGAGATTGTGACAGAGTAGAAAGAAATGACAGTGGATACCAACATCAGCAGGAGAGAAAGAAATCGTGAGGAAATCGAAGAATTTTTATTAAATTGATTTGAAAACGAACACTTACTTGAAAGACTCAGCTCCTACAGGAAGAACCATAAACTCCTGCATGGCCAGTTTGTTACCTGCATGGGAACCTCCATTTATCACATTGAAGGCCTGAAGAGGAGAGGAGATAGGCGGAAATTAGGAAAGAGGTGAGATGAGAGGAGGAAACAAAAAACGAGTTGAAAATGAGAGCAGAGAAAAAAGGCGAATAATAAACTATTTTTAGCACCCTATGAAGTCTATCAACACCTGTACATATGTCCAGTACATTTTTTACTTTATCAAAAAGCACGTTTCTTACAGGAACCGGCAGCACCAGCTCTGTGTTTCCAGCCAGGTCGGCTATGTGGCGGTACAGGGGGACCTCTTTCTCCGCAGCACCGGCCTTACAGATGGCTAGAGACACCCCCAGGATGGCGTTGGCCCCAAATTGAGCTGTTTGACAGGATAGAAAACAGGAAATTAATTCTGTATTGTTATATATTTTTGTATATTCAACGAAAGTGATTTTGTTAAATAATGTTCACCAATGAACAAATTAAAGTTTTGCAACCAAAGTGCAGTATTTCTTCTGACTAATAAAATAAATGTAATTTAAGTGTCATTATGTAATCGTTTCTTCCTAAATGCATTCATCTGGTAATAATCTTTTAGTTTGAAGTAAGAGACACACATTTTCCATGTGAAGCATTTCAATTATTTAACCATTGTGACAACAGATTTTGGTACCATATATCACACGAAAAAAGAAAAAAAAATGATTGTATCATTAGTCATAATATGTAGGTATTTTTTTGAAGTACTTTCTATGTACAGCTCGCCAACTTTAAATCCCCAAATGTCAACAAGCGGCACATACCCAGCTGTGTGCATCACTTTTTAGAGCCCCCGTTTTTGTTATGTTTTTTGTTGTTGTATTTGCAGCGTTTTGTATTTGCAGTGTTTTGTATTTGCAATGCTTTTAGTAAATGCTGCGCATTTTTTGTCAAGTTGTTTTGACTCACATTTGTTTTCTGTGCCGTCCATCTCGATCATCATGTTGTCCAGCTGCTCCTGCTCAACCACGCTGATGCCCTGCAGACACACAAAGAAGCACATCTTAATTAAACACACAGTTGGATAATGTATAACATAAATCAAGGTTTTAAATTCTTCCCACGACATCTTCCTGGGTTCATTATGGTTCAGTGTTGTACCTGAAGTTCAAAGGACTTTTATTTATTAAGTTTAACACACACACACACACACACACACACACACACACACACACACACACGAACTAACTACTTACGTA